GAGCCTGCTTGGGATTCTCTCTTCCCTCTCTCTGCCATTCCCCCTACTCTCCCTCTCTCAAAATAAATAAACATTAAAAAAAGTCTTTTAAAAAATCAAATATGCTTTATCTCAATAGGGAATGTGGGTCATGTCACTGTGTGCATTTGTCAAACCTCATCTGATGGCACATTAAACGTTGTGCAATTTACTATATACAAATTACATTTCATTTTTAAAAATTATATCTCATTTTTTAAAAAAACACCATTAAAAATGCATTAGTCCATGTTAAGTGATTACTGATCATTTAAATTTCACAAGCCACCTGAGATTATTTTGGAAACAAAAACAGTAGCAAAACTCATCTTTTAACTAAGTATTTTTATTTTGAAAGCTATTAAGGTGCTCACCTAACCTCAGAAAAACTACTGTTAAAGTAAAGGACTGATAATAATATACCAAAATAAGCTTAAATGATTCAATGTGTAAGTTGTCTCCAATTCAATTTATAACCTTTATAGACTTCTTGACATTAAAGTTCCTCACTACACACTGACAAATCAGAGAAAAACCTCATTAAATGATACTTTAGGTACTTTGAAACAAAATGATCTAGCTCTAAAAATGATTCAAGCCAAGGTGGTTAAAGTACATACTCTATACAAGGGCTCACAAGCATTTACTCCTATTTAAGCTGTAAATCAATATTGTCCAACATAAGGTCTCATCCTGTAATCCTTGGAGCCAAAGGGAGACAATAAAATTCTAAACATCTAGTTAAATAATAACAGTAAGTAACCTGTATTTACAGAATAGATTTTCATTCTGAGACCAAACGCCATAAACTGAAGGGGGCATAGCATGGCTCTGTAGCTCACATGAAAAGGTGTGGGGTATGTGAACAGGCATGATTTGACCTTGAAAGGTGAAAATGGCTCAGAAAAATTAGGAGTTAGGAGACTCTAGTAACCTTTCTGAGAATCGGTAGTCTAATTTTATTATGAGATATTAGGCTTATCTCTCAAGTTTCATTTAGCTCACAAATGCTACTTAACCATCATCACATTATTCCACAACTTGAACCCATTATAAGCCAATATAAAGCACCTTTACTATACTGTGGATTCAGTTAGCACAAATTGAAAACAACGTTTCTCATGCATCCAATGATCTGTAACAAATAAAGACCTATCCAGTGCAGATGGCATCTTTGTTTTCGGGTAACAGCAGTAGAACTTATTTGCAAGATATATGCTCAGTGCCAAGAAGCTTAGATTAAAATTTAAGCTGCTTTCAACACTGAATAGTAAGGATTAACTAATACTTTATAAACATCTTCTTTAATACTTAAGATTCAGAGAGGGCAAAGAAACAAAATGGTTAAAAAAACAAGGGAACAATTCTCCCATGCCCCCTCCCATCTTCTTATTCATTTCCCCATAAAAATACATTCCATTAATTTACTTCCTTCTAAATGGTAACTGATAATTTATCTGATGCAGATGGCATTTTTAATGGTCTTGAGTGGGGTGTCTGTACAGTTAAGATTCAAACGTAAAACCTACATTTAGCATCAAACAGTGATGAAATGCTTTCCAACTACTATTATCCAAAAAGTCATCTTAAAATGTCAGCGCTGGAAGTTCTGAGATCAACTAGGCCAACAACTTGGATTTAGGAAGGGTACCTTTTTCAAATAAAATTCTACCCAAAAGCTCAGTAGGCAAAAAACTTTTTCTAGGGAGTAGGAAACCCTAAACCTTTCTGTCCAGTATTTTCCTTTCCTATTCCAACAGAATTAGAAAAATACTAACTTGGTAAAATCCTCTTTGCATTTCCTAGACGAGGAAACTAACTGACAGGCCCAAAGAGTACTGACTGGCCCCAGATCACTCTATCAATACCCATGGCAAATCTAGGGCTTGCTAGCATTAAGCGCTTCTTTAGAGATCACGTTAATTCAATTCAAATTGAGTACCCCAAACAGAAGGTTGTACCAGAAATACAGTAATTTTTAAATTTTTAAAAAAGATATTTTGAGAGAGCAAGGGAGGGACAGAGATAGAGGGAAAGAGAAATACAGTAATTTTTAAGGAGCTTCCAGAAGTCAATTAACGATTTTGGTTTTCCAACTAAAGAATGACCCTAGTTTCTTAATACGGAGACTGACCACCACCCTCATTCCTGGTCATTACACCAGCAATGGATGCATGCACTGCTTCTGCAGAACAATAGATCCTTTACTATTTTTTAATCAGGTCTGCTATGTGGGCCAGTAATTTTGAGCCCTTGTTCTAGGATATCCCAAAGTATCTTAAAATAAATTAGGGGGAGGGAGGCAGGGAAGAAAATGAGTCGCAAATTCCAAATCTTTAAAAAGTAAGCTCTACGCCCAACATGGGACCTGAAGTCATGGCCTTAAGGATCAAGACTCACAAGTTCTACTGACTGAGCCAGCCAGGCACCAAAATTCTAAATTTTTTACATTTATATCCATCTAAAACAAAGGATAACACACAGCTTTATTTAATCTCACCAAACTAATGTCAATTTAATTCAGTATTTACCAAGTAAATATTTATTGTGTGTACGCTATATATAGGTAACGTGGAAATAGCGGGGAACAAAATGACGAGGTGGGAAGTTGTAACCACCCAAAAGAAGAATGTTTATGTAAGTCTTTCTTACCCTTTTCACTTCAGCAGAAAAACAGTTCTCTCACACTTTACAGCCAATAAGCCACTACTGTTTCTGCGTCCCAGACTCTCCCACTCCTAAAACAAATTTACTCTTTCCCCACCCTCGTCCAATGGCTTTCTGAACTACAGACTACTCCCAGAAGCCACCGGGGTTTCTTGGATGCCCTCCCCAACCAGTTCGACCAAGCTCTCTTCCTTAAAGCCAGATCCTGAAATACCACCGCCTCTCCCAGGAAGCATTAATTTGAAAGCCAGCTTAATCTCTCTTTAGCTCCACCCACAGTTTATAACTACAACTCTCTGCACTCAGCATCTTATAATAGTTGCCTATTATTTTGCTCCCAAGTTAATTTCATTTATTCATGTGCTTATTCAGTATAGGAAGCATTGCTCTCGTTGGTCCGTACATACCAGCACTGTTCTTAAGTAAAAGCCACCAGATAAAAGGGTTTAGCACTGAAAATGCCAGACGCTTAATGCTTTTGGAAAATTATTTTGAATACATTAAATTCAACCTGATTTGCGAAATATATAAAACCTCCCCACGTAGATGAATCTAAAGAGCTAAGTGAGAGACGTCAGACACAAATGACCTCAGACAGTAGGACTGCATGGCTGTAAAATTCGGGGATAAACCACAGTGATGGAAAGCAAATCAGTGGGGGCTGGTAGTGGAGGGATGTATTTAAAGGCACAAGGAAAGGAGTTTAAAGCTTCGGGGCTAATGCAACTGACTTTTAATTTTGAGGGAGAAAAAAACAAGACATTTTAATAAAGTTCTTAAAAAACGTTTTTCCATTTTTCAAGAATAACATTTATTTTATTTTCCAAACAAGCAGGTTTTCGGGGGGGGGGGGGGGGTCGACGGATAGGAATCACTTAAAATCTCCCATCATGTTGGATTTGCACATTTTCTACCTTACCAAATAAACCTAGAATTTCCTTCCAAATGATTTACTTTATCACTTACAACCAAAAATATCTACCAGCATTGGAGATTTTTTTTAACGTTTGTATTACTCTGGTTGTTTCCACATCTGAATTAATGTATGCAAACCGGTCCTTAATTCATAAGGAATATAAACTGGAATAGAAAATGAGGTTACATTAACTATCATTCTAGTTGGTTCTTAGCTCTCTCTGGTTCTTTTTGCAAATGTTATTTTTGAGTAATTGCTGGAAAATGGCTTGGCTTTAAACTATTTTAGCATCTATTCTAGGTAGATGCTCTTTAATCTCAAAGTCAAATGAACAACCTTTAAAGTTAACCATTAAAAAAAAACACGTCAATCTCTGGTCATCTTTTACCCTGATCACTACTACTATTTGCCTTCACTAGTATCCTATCCCCCCAAAAGGCTACAGTTTCCCCATGTGAGGAGTTACAGATACAAGTAACTCAACAGGTTAAAGCTACTTACCACAGTGTGGTTCTGTGATTAATCTTCCTTTTAATACGACTGATCTGAGTCCATTTCAACACAGCAGTGCTCAAACTGCCTTTGCCACTACTCATAAAAATTCAGTGCTCAAACTAAATGTGGCAAACATAACCCTTCATGAAAGAACAGTTAACACTTTCAAAGGGGCTATGAGGGATTTCGCACAGTATAATTTAACAATTTCACGTCGCATCTGCTGCAGAGATAACACACTGTCATTATGCCACCTCCTTCCTTGAACCCCCCGCCGCCTGCAGCTTTATTCTCGGCTTTTCAAAGGTTTAATCCACTTAGGGCTGCTAACGAGGGAATCAAGGAAGGGTAACTTGTGGACCCAAGCACAGAAAAGGGCAGGAATATGTGGTTGAGTCACGTCGTTCCGCCATTTTCTAAGCGGAGGAGGAAGACATGTTGGAACAAAAACACAACAAAAGAGCAGCCATTTCCCAAGCCGGCTCCAATAGCAACCCGAACTGGCCGAGCCCGGTCACTTGGCGGCTTCAAATCCACGTCCCTGGATAGACCTACGAACATCAGAGGTGCCGGCGCAAAGAAAGCAGCAGACAACCCTTCCGCGTAGGGATCAAAGATGACCCGCACACTCCGAACTGCAAACGAAAGCCTCTGGGGGGAAGACGGAAGCTAAATGGAACAGTGTAACAAACTGAAATTCTACACGAAGTTGGCAAACCAAAAATGTACTCGGTGATTGTGGTGGCTCACGGTTCACGGGAAGCCACCGGATAGAGTAAAACCCAGGAAGCTCAAACAGCAAGGCCCGGAGTCAGCTGGTGCTATTACTTGCCTCTGCCCGTCCCCCCCCCCCAACATTCCGTACTTCCCTCGGTGCGCCGCCTGTTTGCTTATGGGTTCTTACCGTATGTGGGGGATGCCAACCCCACCTTGAAGAATCTTATAGAGTTTGCTCTCGTACAGCAACTGGGGATGCCTGGCCTTCTGAGATTCTAGCTTCACTGCCACTTCCTGCAGGGGAAAGAAGGGATGATGGCATCAACATCCCTAAGGATTCAATGTCACTTGGGAAAGGAGGGGACACGTTAGCACAGCTCCAACTCGAGACTACACGGTGAAGTAAGAGGCTCAGAAGAGAAAGGTCTCTGAAATTACAAAACGAGGCAACCAAGCCTCAAAGGCCTCTTCGGGGGGTAGTGACGAAACCGGCACGTCCCCGAAGGTGCAGGAAAATGATTCATCCAGAAAACGTAATGAAAGGTTTAGAAGGAAACTGACGATCGAAAGCAAGAACCCCAATAAATCCACACAGAGAGAAAACCATGGGGATCACAGAAAGGCGATTTTGCCGCTCTCACCTTAAACTACGGCTTAAAAAGTTCGGTTAACGTGCATTTTCAACAAGGTGGGAAACTTCATAGTTCTCCCACCCTTTCTATCGGGTTCTTTGCCTTTTAGGGAAAGAGAGCGGGGGAGGTTCCTAAGCCGGGGAAACTGGCTCCCTCTGGACTCCCTTCCCCAGTACATGCGTGAGGTGGGGAAAGGCCTGAACACTTTGGGGGTTGGGGCGGGGGGGGGTGGTGAGGACTGGCGCAGCGCGATCGTGAACCCCACCCCAGGTGATTACCTCGCCGTTGGTAATGTTGATCGCCAGATAAATGTCCCCGAAGGAGCCAGACCCGATCTTCCGTACCAGTTTATATTTCCCTCCGACAATGAACTCGGCCTTGGAGCCGCTGCTGCTCGCCATCCTGAGAGACGAAGATGGAGGCTGGGGCCAAGCCCCGACACCTCTGAGGGGAAGACAGAGGCCGCTGGGGCTGGTCCACGGAGCAAGGCTGCGGAGGAGGGCGGCAGGAAACGGAAAGCGCTGGCTCTTTCAAGGCGTTACAGGGCCCAGGATCGGTCAAAGGGAACCCGATCGCCGCCGCTCAGTCAGGCTTCTTTTGCCAGGCCGCAGCTTAGAGGGGTTTCTCGCGGTTACCAGGCTGGGCCACTTGTTTCTGGGCGGCCGCCGCTGCCTCGCTTTCACGGCAACGTCGCGGGCTGGAAAAGGGGCGCGGTGGTTTAGGGCGGCGATACCGCTGCCACCACTGCCGCCGGCTCCCGCCCGGAGGGACCCCTGTCACTCCGCCGACGCCGCCATCTTGTTACTCCGGCTCCAGCCAACACAAAATGCCCCCAGTCCCCGGGAGCCGCTTCTTCACGGCGCGGAGCACTCTGGGAAAGGGAGCTCGGGCGCTAGCCCCGGAGGGTCGGCAACCAGAGGGAGGGCGGAACCGGATCCGTGAGAGTCGCGGCCCACGCTCCGAGCGTCACCCCGTCACCGCCCAACCACGCATGCGTAAGGCAACCCTGCTGATTGCGCAGGCGTGCGGCAGGCTCTCCTCACCCCCGCCCGGGGCTCACTTCCACTTCCGGTTGGTGGCTCTTCCTGTCTTACTACCTGTTAGAGAGTTGCGTCGGGCCCGCCTGGTGTCTGAAAGGCCCGGTGGCTCTCGGCCTCTAGAGCTTGTTAGGGAGGAGTCACCTTCATTTTTCGTGGAAGGTGGGAACTTCTGGCCTCTTTGGGAGTTGGTTTCTGGCCTTTGCTCCTCTTTCGAGGCGTCTTTTAACCTTTGATCTATCCTCGGGCCACTCCCTCGGACCGGCCTATTCCAGCCAAATTCTGTTTTGCGAGAGGCTGTCTCCTCTGGTGGAGAGGGAGAGAAAAGCAGCCGTGGCCGGCCTGGGTTTGTGCAGGTCTCCCGGTTTGGGCAGAGTCTATCTAGCTCATTAGTCTTAAGAATTCGAGTTCTGCGCTTAATGGAGTGTTGGAGAAGCTCGTATTACAGGAAGGGTAAAGAAGGAAAGCAGGAGTTAGTTGTCTTGCCGTCCTATGTCTTTGTGTTGTTGCTCCGCCAATACTAGTTGGTCCCCAGGGGAAAAAAAACTAATACCCGACTCATAATTTTACTGGCAGATCAGTCAACAGAATGAAATTTACAACTGTGGGAAAACTGCGCGTAGAAGTTATTATCCCTCCCCACCCCCCCGCGACTCCGTAGTCTGGTCGTGTTGAAAACTGCAGTACTGACTCAAAAAACATAGGGTGGAAATAACTATTACAAAAATAAGGTTGATAACGTTTAAAACAGCAAACGTTAATGTTACTGTTAACGTTTATACAGTAAGACTTATTACTAGAACTTGATTGTAAAGAAGTCAAATTTTGACCACATTTTGGTTTATAAAATTTGACCCAAGGAAACGGCTGAGTAGTAATGATTACAAAAGAAAGCTCCATAAGCTGATGCTATCATCTGTAATATGAATCAAACCCTGATGAATGAATCAAACCTCACTTGTAAAAATGGAAACGAAATCTCTCAAAATAATTGCATTAAAATGGAAATGGAAAAAAATGTAGACCCGACTCCAACCTTGAAAGCTGATTAAGTAATTAGCAATGGGGTTCATCCTGAAAGATATCTTTAACAAAATTCCTCCATGTGATTCCTATTCCGACTTAAATACGTGTATTCATAAAGCTCTAGTCCAAATATGTTGAAATGTGAAAACATCCCCTAAAGTTTAGAGTGAAGTTTTGATGCACTACCAAAATTCACACGCTGCCTGTCTCCCAAATCAGCACTATTAGACATTTTCCTTTAGGGACTCCAAAGCGTGTTTGGCCTACCTAAAATTCTCTGCTATTAGATTCTGGTCTTAAAGAAAAGAAAAGAAAAGCCAAGTGTAAGCATCTTGAAGTTTCCAGAGATGGCTACTATTCTACTGATTTTCTACCACCGACATCCAAAAGTGAATGGATTCCACAGCTTGAGGAAAACCCCACAGGGCAAATGGGGTATCCATTGAAAAATTGTTTTGGTCTGGTGAGGATACAGTTGCTCCATTGTGGGATGGAAGGTGGGATGGAATGGGGATAGAGGTGTGCATGGAATGGACTAGGTTATTCCAGCACTGACAGTTTCCCTGCAAACAGGTCTGTGTAGGGACAGGGGCAAGTTTTGCATAAAGTTATTAGAAAAATAAGAACAGTATAATGCATATTTTTCTTTGATTTTATTTTAATTTCAAATTATACTTTATTCTGAGATTTTTATCTTCCTACTCATGTCATCAAAGTGCCATTTTAGGTGACTGGATGGCTCAGTCAGTTAAGCATCCGACTTGGGCTCAGGTCATGATCTCATGGTTCGTGGGTTCGAGCTCCGCATTGGGCTCTTTGCTGACAGCTCAGAGCCTGGAGCCTGCTTCGGATTCTGTGTCTCCTTCTCTGCCCCTCCCCAGCCTCTTTCTCAAAACTAAACAAACATTAAAAATAAATTAAGAAGAATAAAGTGCTCTTTTATAGGAGCACCTGGCTGGCTCAGTTGTAAGAGCATATGACTCTTGATCTTGAGGTTGTGAGTTTGAGCCCCACATGGGGTGTAAATAAATAAAATACATACAACTTAAAAAAAAAAAAAGCTATGGATTTAAAAAAAATAAAGTGACCTTTTGTAAAATGGTCCCAATAGGAGATGGTTGTTTTGTTCTTTTGTTCATACCCTTATTTATCAAAGTTAAAAGTTGACATTTTTATGTTTGCCCTCCTTTTTTGTTGCTGTTCGAAATCAAACACTCTGGAACTCACTAGTCTAAATGACTTTTAGACGACCTTCCAACTCTAAGATCTGGTGATGATTTTATGTATGTTTGGCGAGCCTCCTGATTTGTTTCCTGCCTGTCATAGTCACTATTCCGCACTGACAGTTTCCCGCAAAATGCTCTAAAATGCCATAGTAGTAGTTGTAGCCTTTTCAAAAGTGATTTCGGTTGATTCCATCTTAAGATTTAAATGTGTCAGATTTAAGAAGACGCAAGTTGGTGGAGGCAGTTAATGTAGAAAACAAGTTTTTAGGTGTTGGCTATGACTCAGCCTTTTCCTTAAAATCATACATCATTTGTGGTCATTTTCAACTTCAGCAATTGAAGAATTACCTGTTTTTAGTGCTACTATTAGAGTTACAAATCATTCTGTACTTACTGAATCAGCAGCAGCTTTGGTGTAATGGAAGGAGACTTCTAAAATGTGCCAAAATGCAATTCCTGGATCACATGAATTCACTAAAAATATAACCAAAAATATAGACTAAAAATTTGAGACCTTCAGAGAAATTTAGAGATCATCTAGTTCAGTAATATTTTTAGATGCTTTGCCATGTGCAGTGTGGCTTCACACACATCAATTGTGTCCCACTAGGAAAAAAGCGGCTTGTTCAAGATCACACAGGTCCTAATGGCCAAGAAAAGACTAGAACCCCAATGTCCAAGCAAAGGAAAGAGAAAAAGGAGGGGCAGAATGGCAATTGGGACAATTGTGCCCCAGCGATTACATTCATAGGACAAGATGAATTGAGAACCTTTTTTGTAAGGAAAGGCACTGTGTTTACCCAAGGAATGGTCACTGCTAACCAGAGTGCATTTGGAGTAAAATGATAAAGACAAGCACAACACTTATAGGTGGATGCTGTAAGGAGGAAAATAAAAACAAGGGTGGTCTGCCTATCTCTGAGTTGTTCGGTACAAATAAATAGGAAAGAATGGAAGATGTCAAACACCATCTCAGGTGTTGTTCAACTGCCTTGTGCACAGCCAGTGTCAGATAAGTGAGTTAGGGGAGAGACTGAAAAAGAGACCATCAGAAATATTCTGTTGGGTCAGAGTGATAATCCATTTAGTCTCTTTTCCAGTCTTTGACAGTGACAGCAATTTCTGTGTCCCTTTCTTATCTCAGGTCCCGTTTCCCCTATCTGCATTGTTCATGAGGTTTTGTAAAAGTGGATAGCTGCATCTGTGGTCTCTATTTTAAATACGTTTGACACATTCTTATTGTGAACATTTCTTTCTTTTTTTTTTTTTTAATGTTTTTTATTTATTTCTAGGAGAGAGAGAGAGACAGCGTGAGCAGGGGAGGGTCAGAGAGAGAGGGAGTCACAGACTGAAACAGGCTCCAGGTTCTGAGCTGGCAGTCAGCACAGAGCCCGACGCGGGGCTCGAACCCACGAACCGCGAGATCATGACCTAAGCGAAAGTCGGACGCTTAACCGACTAAGCCACCCAGGCGCCCCAGAACATTTCTTACTTTCTATGGAGTCATTAGCCATAATTTCAATTAATTTCATTCCTTAGCTCATTTATGTTTTGACCCATATGGCTTCAAGATTCTGAAGACTGATAAGGTCCAATGTATGCTACCCAATGACTTTTTTATAATCATCTACACCTATAAGTGTTCACTGTCCTTTTCCTTATAATTGTCAATATTCATTTGAAAAATTTAGATAAATCAGAAAAAAAAGAAGCCAAAAATCTCTTAAGAGATAATCACCAAATGTTAACATGTTGCTGTGTATAAATGTCCAGTCTTTTTCTTTCTTTCTTTCTTTCTTTTGTTTTACTTTATTTTTGAGAGAGAAGTAGAGACAGCATGAGCAGGGGAAGGTCAGAGAGAGAGGGAGACACAGAATCTGAAACAGCCTCCAGGCTCTGAGCTAGCTGTTGGCACAGAGCCTGATGCGGGGTTCGAACCCATGAGCCGTGAGATCATGACCTGAGCCAAAGTCAGATGCTTAACCGACTGAGCCACCCAGGCACCCCTGTCCAGTCTTTTTCTATGCAGTGTGTGTGTGTGTGTTAGGTGTATGTGTATCTATCAAATATGTGTATATACACATATATTTAATTTTATTTCTTTTTTGTACATTTTGTTTCTTAAAATTTATAATAAGTAACCATAGTGCACATTCAGTTTTGACACCTGTTTTTTTTTCAATTAATAATTTATTGGAGACATATTTCCTTAGGTTAAAAAGAAAACCACATGCCCAAAATAGCCTCACGTGAGTTAAGGCCCCAAGTCAGTAGATCAGGGCTTAATACCTAATTGCAGTTTCATCCTCCCTCAGAAATGTCAGTCTTAACCCGTCAGTCAGGAATTTTCTGATAAGCACCAATGAGATCATCTGTCTCTTGGACCTCCCCCTGTCTCCCAAAGGAAGATGAGGTAATCTGTATAATGAGACCCCTGCCCTTCTCCCTAAGGGAAGGTGATGTTGCCTGAAACAATCCTTTCTTTTCTTTTGCTTGTAATTTTCTTGCCCCACCCTCCTTCCTATAAAAAACTTCCATCTTGTACAACTCCTCAGAGCTGCCTTCTACTTGCTAAATGAGATGCTGCCCAATTTGTGAATCATTTAATCAAGACAATTAGATCTTCAAATTTACTGG